CCCCCCCCCAAAAAAAAAGAAAATATGCGCACGATCTTTGGAGTAACTTCTGGAGTTTTAAAGCAGTTGGTGGAAATCCTTGACTACGTGCCACATGTAAATGATGACTAGGGAAAATATGTGTGCTTCCTTTGGATTGTTTACATATTGCTCTGTCATTTATACTCCACCTCGACATACACGTGCTTTTGTCAACACGCCGATGGAGTTGTATGCAACGGTCAGTGGAGTGTATACGAAGCGAACACTTTGCTAGCGAAGATGTACAAGTATATGGCTAACCTTTTTGAACAATACACGATAAAATAAGACGGCGATGGCAAAGTTGAAGTATATGAAGGAATCTTTATTGAGTGCAGGTAGCACGTTTTTTGTCGGCAAAATTGGCATACTCATCGGAACAAAGTTTTAGCTGGTTGATTTATTTTTACTTCATAGTGTATAAGGCTTAATTGAAAATTGAAATATTTTGCCAAGTCCTTCAATTTCACTTTTAGATTTTTGAAACATATGTTGTATTTAATAAAGGCATTTTTGACCATGCCGATCACAGATACCGTGAAATGTTCGCCGCAGAGTAACTTCCGTCCGTATTGCCTTCCGTAAAAATACGGAACAACTAGAATAGAAAAACAAAACAAAACAAACAGAAAATGGATTTTATGTGCGAAAGGTGAACAGTTGACATGGAGAATATTTTCAGTATACAGTTTCCTCTCGAACTTGATATCAAGTGCACTACAGTCACCCCATCAACAGTCGCTGGCCTCTACTCTATTAGGACGACTGACCTCTAAGTGGTATGGTAAGCGTGGTGATTAAGATTTTCTTTACGTGAGCTATCCCTTCCTTGACAGTACCAGTCTGATTACCTCACCAACGATGCATATATATCACACTTAATTTGTAATTCACAGGATTTCTCCGAATCCCAAAATGTTTATGAAAGATGTCGAATACAGAACGACACATTTACACCACATGGTTTTGACAAGGTACATGCAGACAATGGACAAGTTTAATAGTTAGTATGATGATATGGGGGAAAATGTTCTCCACAGCAATATCAATATAAACTTTTATAGGTTTTGCTACTATGTGAGACGAGACGACGGCGATACATCATTCTTATGTCGAAGAAATAAATTTGTATCAGGTCATATACATGTATGCCTTACCAACTGTACAAAATAACATTTCAATAAGGTATGTAATAGCTCCAAATATTGCGACAAGTGTTTTACGTAATATAGTTATATTGAAATACATTCTTTCGTATGCGTAGCATATCTCCGAAACTTCGTCATTCAGATTTAGATTTGTTTTCAGCACATGATATACGGTATAATGCTTTTGTAGGTGTATTCTGAATGAACATTACCGCCGTGAACTGATCACGAACAATGCCTGTGTAATCTGCTTTGGACATGCTGTTAGATTATAGTCTGGGTTAAGATATATTGACCGTCTCATTTGTTCCACGGCACACCTCCAACTACGCAACTGTTTATTGGAAATTAGCATGGAAGTGTCTGACATTCCGTCTATCAATGAAGCCGAAGCTGTTGTCCCTAGTCACGTTATCTCGTCCCACTCCTCAGCTGCTACAATCAAGCCATGCTGTGACAGCCAGCTAAAAATTGAATGAGGAGCCCGTTATTCGCTACAGCCAATCAGTGATCGACCTCGTATAATTGACAGTTCGGAACACCTTTGAGTAGGACCTTTGAGTACGCGTGTTGGTTACGCAGTTTTATATTGTACGTGCTTCATGTAAACCTGACGTTGCGGCCTCTTCTCAACGATATATACTCTAGGTGCGCATACATTACTTTCGAGTTTAAATAAGACGGCTCTTCCCTAGGCAGCTGTAGATACAGCTATACTCGGTTCCTGTGACACACGCGCTAATTAGTGAAACGAGCAATCAAACGGTTGCCATTACCTGGACATAACTGAACCGATTATCTACCGCACAAGGTAAGTTTTACTTCAGAAAAATGCAATTTTCGATCAATGTTATACTGCACACGGGAATATTTTTATTCCCTCTATTAATATTTCGAACATCTGTTTTTTCTCTCTTATATTCTAGATTAAGTATACATGTTATCAAATAGGTAACTAAGCTTTCATACTTTTTCCTACGTTCTCCATAAGTTTTATAAATTAAAGAAAAAAAACCCCATAATTTTCGGTTAATTTTTTCCGTTAAAAAGGCAATAACTAATGTTCAAGCAGGTTGTGGAGGACGAATTTCCATCAAATTATACTTCTTAAATTCTTATTGCTACTTTGCAAATCATAAACATAAAACATGTAACCCGTCGTTAAGAGGCGGCTTTTTACTTCATGGAAATGACCTTATAATAAGTACCAAGAAATGTTTCTAATTTGATATTTATCATGGTTGGTTGACATTTGTGTTAACTTTTAAACTGTTAGAAAGGAATAATAAAGTCCTACAGTGTCCGAGATGCCCTGACATGGTGATCGACGCTAGCAGCAACGTTTAGCCTAAGGGTATTTGGTTAATAAAGAATGAATAAATAAATAATCAAAGACATAGAATGGACATTTGTCTTCAATATTTATTTATTATAGAATTCAAATATGAAAGGAATATGATACTAGACTTGGTAGGAGAAATGTTAGATGAAAAATGATGTACATAAAATGCTAACCCTTCCTTTCATTTTTTTTTCTTTTTTTTCCCCACCTTTTTTGGAAAATATCATACCTATGATAAACTTGAGACTACAAATCGCGATGTAAAAGCGATCCATGCAAGCGTCTTGCCACATTTTAAATATTCTGATTTAATACAACAGATATTCTCAGAAACAAGTGCTTTCCGTATGGTTTCGGGCAATCATTGCTGATATTATATGCCGTATATATTGATACAGTTTTGATCTCGAAATATTTCTACTGTCTTGATCTGAGAAAAAAAATAGTTTCCTGAAAGTGTCGTAAACGTTTTCTAACTGTCATTGTTTGAATTGTTTTGTCATAGAAACTATGTTATAGACATACGATATATCTTGCAATGCTTTCACATGTTCCTCAACGAACAATTAAGCATGTGATTGCATTAACAAATGACGTTTCTCCGTTCCATGAAAGGAAATACATTCATCAAAGATGGCTGACTTAAACCCTTATAGACACGAGATAGTGCAAAGCATATCCCTGCTCTCTATGGTCCTAGGAACCCTGTGATAGATTAATCTGTCAAGTACAGTCGCGAATAATTAAATTTTCAAAATAGCAGCAAGCAGGCGTTTGTTAGAAACTTAATGTACACTTTAAAAAATCGATTTTAAATGAAAAGTGCATACTACAAAATTGATAAGTTACATAGACCTTAGTTTAGTAGCTTCTAAAAAGTTAATTTATAGAAGATAAGGTCGAGTTGAAGTGGCAATTTCTAGTTTCTCTGTTTGGAACTTAAACAAGATTAAATTCCAAATTTGTCGGTAACTGCATTTAGGTAGTTGTATTTTTGCTGTTCTGATTTTCAATCAGGAAATACATGACTGTATAGAGAGATACACAGGAGTAGCTAGGCACTTGCAATTTGCATGACATTTCTGGTGTGCTCTCCCGAAAACGACGTTGAGACATAGTAGTTCAGATGAACTATGCATACATTCTTATACCTTCTCTGAGAGTTATTTACTTCCATCATATTCCAGGAAAAAAACCTTGTTAATGTGACGAACAAAGGTTAATCATTGCGTTTAGATACTAGGAACCTGCAGATATAACGAATACTGTCTAAACCCTACGTCATATGGTCAATATCTCCCGTACAGAATTCATTTATAGGCCTAAAGATGTATAGAAATTTCCCTAGCTCAGCAGGTATCCTATATTTTTTTCCGGTTCTACAGACAGAGAAATCAGGTTTCACATTGATATTGTGATAGTTATTATCTTTGTTTAGGAATTGTTTGACTCAATATAATTTATTAAGAACGACCAAAAGAATGATTAAGAATTAAAAAGAAAAATATAATTATATGATACGTAACGTAATGCAGGTTTACAGTTTTATGGTATTATAAAGCACAGTACGGAGGTCATCATACTAATTTGAAATGCGTCATGTTACGCAATCTGTGAAATTGATCTTGTTTAACTTTGGGTGTATTCCAAGGGCAGTTCTTCATAAAGGGGTACCGATTACAAACTCGAACTTGGGTCTGGGAGAGAAGCTGACAACCTACCGTAGCAAGATAAATGTTCATCTTTTAAATTTTCGACTTACTTGCCTTAAAAAGAGATATTATCGCATTGAAATTTCAGTATATCTATGGTGTTGAAAAGGAGGGCGAACTTACCTTTTGTCTGGCAAATATGCTTATAGAGTTCTGTTGTTGGTCCATTTAAAAAAGAAATGCCATGTACTAAGATAAAAGGGTATGCTGGATCCATTTCTACTTGATAATATTTCAATAGAATTTATGAACTTGCTTGAACAACATATTAGCAACGACTTTCCGTTGTGAAAACTATGGAAATGTACATTTCACTTATTTTTTTTAAATATGTATATAATTTATTCAGAATGATTCGAGCATATCTGAGCATGATCATTTGGAATCTGCGCTTATATGTTTTATTTGACATGAGCATGTTAACATTGAAGTTTTCTTATCTCCATATAAAATTATTCTTATTAAATTGTTATCTGGCTTCCAAAAGAAAATTGTCATGAGACACCGTCGAACTACAATAAAACAGTTTCGTTTGTAAAAAAACAGTCGAGTTCTAGGCTATTTTTCGTTAATATAAATCGTATATTGATAAAAAAAAAGTAGGGATATCAATGCAATCAACTATTTTAGTGATAGGAAATGAAAATATGTATCCTGCGCAAATTAATTGGATTACAGCACACGCATCCGCAATGAAATTGTTTGCGAGTTATTTTATCCCGGTTTACTTGACGCGATATTTCATACCTAAACATATTTATATCACGTAAAATAAGTGTTTTGCAGTTAAACCAGCCGGCCGTTAATTAACCCCGTATTGCCGTTATGCGGGCGGATCGATCTGATTGACAACGCCTTGAACTGTCGTGTGTCGCTCTCGTACGGCGGCTATTCGAGTAACAGATACAACGTAATGTAACACGGGATTGCACCAGAGACGAGTATTAAACTTTGACGCTATCTATACTAGTGGTTAAATGATTCCACCACTGTACGTCTAGCGGTAACGCAGGTCACATCTAAAATATCATCTGTGGCTGTAGTAGACGGTCTTTTTAACAAGATGATATTAGATATAGCTTACAGGCATCTAAGGAGTATCGGTTATAGCAAAAATGGAGTTAAGGCTAATATAGTTACCATTTACATGTGAAATACCCACTAAAAAGTGGCTTAGGGAAAGAAATTTGAAGTTTATTATTGATACAAACGACGTTCTGAGTTAGTTGCAGACATTATACTATCGTCCACATGAGACAATAGATTTCATCAAGAATCAATATTACCGTGTATTTAATGATTGTATTAGCGTCAAAACCCAGCTTAAGGACCGACAATAAAATCTGCGTTATTCATTTCATTGTTGGAATGTAGTAGCTTCTGATCATAACTAAAGGTCAATGGTAGTTAATATTTAAAAAAATCAGATTTAACCTTGATAACCCTGTTACAAATATGTCCCAAGCAACTTATTAAACATATAAATATCTCCAATGTCTGACTTTAATAAGATCACTGCTATAAAGTTCTAAAATGATATTTCTGCTTCCTGATTTTTAAATAATTTCGTAATTCTGCCAGTCATAACTTTGCCAGAATGACGGCAATATACAGAATTCTGTTTTTATGTATGCTGTGTATAACCCAGTGGCTGTTTTACTCCGTATCTTATGGACACATACGCAGGAACATTAGAAATCATGTGACGTTGCTGATGCCACGAGTGAAGAACAATTAAATCCACGAGTGCGTTTGTTTTAAATAAAATATCTTCAATTATTCCTTTAAGGTAGAGAAGCCTACCGCTCTTTGTTGTTTTCTAAACCACAGAAAAGAGCCCCTTTGTCATGCATTTGATTTGACTTTGGAGTTGCTCGCCTTTTTAATATTGCAAAGAGTTACAGACAAAAGACATATGCCAATTATCATGTCGGCCACAAGAATTGTCCCTAGACCTGTTAATTAAAAATGCTGGTAATGTATCTGCTGCGCAACTAGTCATAACTCTTGTTTCGTTAATACCTGTTTGTGGCATTACATAAACAATTTTAAACTGTTCTAACTTTACAAAAAGGCTCGCAACAATGATTCTAACTTTACAAAAAGTCTCGCAACAATGATTGCCTTAACATAGAGGAGTAGACACAAATGTAACAGGGTATTTTAAGGCCTATAAACAATAGATAAGTGGTGGATGCTCTATCTAAATGTGTTCTTAACTCAACGAGTAATTAAGATAGTGAGAAGCATTCGAAGTAAATATAATGTTTGATTTTCAAAAAAAAAAAAACGAACTGCAGAGACATATTTGAAAGTTCATGTCGAGAATAGATCATCGAGTCACGTTGCCATAGAAAAAATCAGGAAAACTTATTTAGAAAATCAATGAACAGTAGATAAAACCCAAATTTTATTATTCAATGAGGTGTTATGTTCAAGCTATGTGATTTTGTATCACCCGCGTATGCAACACACTGTTCCGTATCGTACGGAATATTCACTGTGAGACAAAACTTGTATTCAATATAACATGTTCAAGTCAACAATATCGGCCGACGATGTTATCAATCAGATTATATTGTTATAATTGAACATAATATGTCAGCTTTAGTAAATCATATTACTTATTTTATGCCTATGATTATCAGGTTATTCCATTAATAATGCTATGAAAATCGATATTTTATGAGCTGAGAATAGAATTAAATTTCTGAATGATTTTACCGGTAAAATTATAAAAACCACAAACTCTTATTT